TTGAAGCCGGATTCTAATTGTTTGGGATAAGAAGGTGTTTGTAACACCCTAGAATTCCTTTCTTTTAAAATAATTGTTTTGCTCTGTTTAAAACTCAAAATAGGAAAATCTAAGACATTACTGCCACCGTGACAACGACTAAGGCAACTATCAAAGACACACGGCGGAAGACTATCTTTAAATACATTCAAAACGACTCAACTTTAAAAGTCAACCAACGAAAGTAATGTCAAACCAAAGTATAACAAAGTTAATCTACAACTTGGAACCATTGTAGGCCCTTAACAAAACTGAGCCAATTCAAAACCTTTGCGTTAGTCTGACAAACATAATATAATAAAATAATGAAAACAATAAACACGTCATAAAATTATGGAAACTAGCATGATTCGCTCTTCACTCATGCCCATCATGAATATGCTTCATCACTTAAAAAGCTTCTCTCTACTTGTTTCCACTACTCTTCACTAAAATGGGTCATCATAGGGCTAAGGTAAAGACAAGGCCAACAAAGACATAAACACACAATCAACAAAGCTGAGTACATAAGTGTAATTAAACACACTAACATGCTTTCACCTATCAATACACAAATTACCTCGTTGCACCTGTTTACAAGCACACAACATACAACAAGACTTCTCAACTAAGTAACTAAATAATTTATTTAGTATTAATTACAATCGAATGGGTTTCCCCTTAACTTGCCCCAATACAGGGGTACTAACACGGGAGCTAACCGGTATAAAAGAACCACTCGTAAATGGAGGAATTCCTGCACATAATAATAAAAGGAAAATACAGCGTCCTACACGCCCAGTAGAAGTTATGATCAAATATAAAGTCACATAAATCCCCCCATATATTCATACTCAAGGTATATACGTTCCAAGAGTTTTGGTGTGTAATCTCTTTCAATTTACGTTATTTACATATTATTACACTCGGTGATGACTCTCAAACCATAACACAATCAAACATCATAATTATCCAAACAATTAAACATTCCAATTTAAATCCTGAATAATTAGTAACCACATAATATTTATGTTGAACCCTTTTTAAATCTACCTCGGTATCAAAGACACCTTAAACGCGTAATGCGCCAAAATTCCTATACCTCGGTGTTAGAAACACCTTAAGTGCACTAAGGCACCAACATATAATTTATTCTTCGTGTACATAGACACTTACATAGCTCCTTTCTCATGATTATAGCATCAATAAAAATTATATGAACCATAATAAAATTCTTTTTTAATATTCCAAACCAAATTAAACATGTAGTTTAATTAAACATGCTGTCTATCATGCCATAAATAAATGTGTGGTTCATATTCAACATGCCAAAGGATTATTTTCCAATCATTAATCCATCACAAATAAATCATGCTTTATAATTCAATCACCAATGTCAACCAATCACAATTTCCAATCATAATCTAGCATGATACTTCTTGGGATTAAATAATCAAGCCTAGCATGTTACTACATCATCAAAAATATAGTAAGTACACGAACGTACCTTGTATACGATCTTAAAATCACCACGACTAATAGAAATCGCTCACTTTAAAGTCTCCTACAATCCAAAATCATCTTATGGCATTAAAATCTACTCCCCCACAAATTTCCAGCAATATATACTCTTATTAAACCACTCATAATTTAATTAAAACAAGCTGAAAATTAATTTAAAACCTCATACTTTAATCCCAATTAACGGGTAGTCAAAATTTCTTCAAGGAACTTAATTTTTAGCTTACTAACAAAAATTCCAGCATTATTAATTCATGAAAACTTGCTATAATTATACTTTAAAACCCTCAGATTAAAGGTTTAAACCACACTAAATCATATTCCTTCAATAATCAATTATTTATAAATCTAGGGTTTCAAAATTGGGGCTTTTTAATTAAATTTAAAATCTGAAAATTTATTTGCATCATACTTAAAGTCAATCATCATAAAACCATCACTAAACTCATAATTTATAATTAGATCTAGGATTAAACAAAAAATATATATTTTTTCCCTGAGGGGGGCCGAGCAACAATAGCACCGGCACGGCTGAGCTGCTGTCGAGCCCTGCCGGTGTCGCCGTGGCTATTGGCCGTTGCATCTGTGGCTGTGGTGGCGGCCGGTGGTGTGAGGTGGTGGTCGGCCTTGCAAAAATAAGAGGGAAGGGGAAAAGAAAGAAAAAGAAAAAGAAATAAAGGAAGAGGGAAAGAAAGTTTACCTTGGGTATTCTCCAATATGGGCAAAGTTTAATTTGCCCAAGTGTTCAATATTTATACCCCTTTCTTTAGAAACCCTTCTTACCTAAACTTTCCTTTTTTAATCTTTCCTAATCCCTTTCGTAATAAAAATTTACTAAAATAAAACTTTCCTAAATTAAATCCCAACTTAATAAAATAATTAATTCAATAAAACTGTTCTTGTATAAAATATTTACAAACTTATTTAAAATAAATAATTAAAATGCCATAAATAATTTATTTCAAATTATCTAAATACCTCACAAAATACTATTTAAAATAAAAAAAACGTGTAAAAATACGGGGTATTACAGTGTTGCTCCCTATGGTGAATTTGAAACTAATAGTGAGTTGTAGCTACAACCATGTGAGGTTTCCTTCTTTTCTATCCGTCTACGTATTTTGCATGAGCGGCACGTGGATCCTTGATTATTGCATGCTTTATCAATAACTTGACTCTCATCTCTTGAGATCGCGACCGAACCATTTAGGAAGGACAAAGGCATCTTTTCGGCAGGGCCGTATCTGGGCCGGGGCGCCCGTCCAGAGCCCCAAAATTTGAAACCCATATTCGTGTATATATATAAAAAAATTGTAGTGATTATACGAAATAAGCGGCGTTTATTCCAGACTTCAAGTTAATCAATCAAGTTATTCCTTCAAAAATCCCCTCAAATTAATTCCTCCTAGAAAATAGCCCCTTCATCTTTGGGAAGTTGAATTTGCCATATTAATTCCTATAATCTACCCAAATACAACTGTATAATCTTCAATTTCATTCATGAAATCAATTAATTTTCTGATTGTTCATTTTCTTTCACAAATTAATTCTAAGAAGAGATTTCCCCCATAAACGTTCATCTTTGCAATCAATTTTCAATGGGATCAAAGTCTAAGAATTTGCCTATAAATTATATTCTTTTAATTGTTATTCACATATCAATTTTCTTAATCACTTTTTTCTATTTGTATCTATTATTTTTTCACCATTATTATGGAGTTTGGCTTCGACGTTCGAAGAGGAAATCAGAAACCATACGGAGTATCAGAGTATTTCTTGAGATTTCTGAAATCATACGAGTAAGTTCTTAATTTTTTTCCAGCAATTTAAAGCAATTAATCTATTTTGATTTATGAATTATTCAATTTAAAGCAATTTAAAGATGCTACACGAAATATATTTTTTTAGAATTCCAGTTAGTTCTTAATTTATCAGTTTGCTTGAATTATGAATATGATATTTGATTATTGATTATGAATTATCAAATTGTCAAATAAGAATTTTTAATTATGAATTTATGAATTATGAATTATTACTCATCAAGTTATCAGTATCTCTACCCAAAAAAAAAAAGAAGTTATCAGTATCACATTTTTGTCAAATGTCGATTGATAGATTTTATTTATGGTCTTTAATTCTTTATGTATTAATGAATTATGAGTGTATGACAGTATCACATATTCACCATATGTTTAATTGTCAAGTGATAAATGATATATTTAAATAATGTACTATTCAATTGTACTGAATTTATAATTTTATGTTATTGTAGGTATTGCTAAAGCTGTCAGTTTCTGACCCGAACCATTAAACTCGATTGTTTCGAACCGATCCGAAAAGGAACTGAACTTTTTAAAACCCGTTTTTTGGAAATCGAAAACTGACCCGACCCAATTTTTTCCAAACCGAAACTGAACTAAACCGAATTTGTGCAAATCGTTACTAACCTGACCCGTTATCAAGCCAAACCGTTACAACCCGAAACTGAAAGCAACCCAAACCGATTACGTTTAAACCCGATAGTAACCCGACCCGTTTTAAACCGAAAACCGTTAAAACCCGATAAACCTAAATCGTTCCAACCCGTAACCCGTTGTGACCGAACCGGTTATAATCCGTAACCCGTTGTGACCGAACCGTTTACGACCCGTAGCCCGTTATGACCAAACCGTTTAAACCCGTAACCCGTTATGACTGAGTCGTTTAAAACCCAATATGTTTATGATCTAATCTGTTTCAACCCACTACTCGATAAACCCAACTTATTTATGACTTGACTTGATTATAACATGACTCGTTCCTACCCATTATCTGACTAATTCGACTCGATAATCATCCGACTCAATTTTAACTCGATATGATTTTGATTAGAAACCCGTTTCAAATTGGGTAAACTCGTTTTCAAACCAATCAAGTTCAATCTAAATCGATTATAACCGAAACAATAATGGTTGGACCTAATTTCACCCGATCTATTTTGAACCGAAACCCATTTTCGAACCGACCCATTTAAACCCAAACTGATTATGACCCGAACCAATTACGACCCGTCCTGATTAAGACCTGAACTGTTTTTAACCGAAACCCACATTAAATGGGCGAAAACCGTTTTCAAACCGACCCAGTTCAACCCAAATTGATTATGACCCGAACCAGCTAGAACTCGACCCGATAAGGACCTGATCCGAATAGAAACTGCAATTAAAAAAACCAAACCGAACTGGCCCGTAATTTTCAAAACCGACCCAAACCGAACCGCTTATTATTTCAATCCGTTATAAACCGACCCGTTATAACCCGAAACTGATAAACTCAACCCAAACCCGAACTGTTTAACCGAATTGACACCCCTGGGTGTTACCCATATTTGACGACTTTTGGACTTTTCGGATTTACTACTAGCATCTTGCGAGATTCGGTGATATTATTCTTTAACTTTTATTATATTATTTATTTTAATAATGTTTCCGAGAAAATATGCATCCAGACATGATAAAAGGGAAAAAAGAAAACGAGCCCAACATTTGATTGAATCTCAAATAGGAGCATTAGATAAATTTTTTTGTAGTAGTCGAGTGGAAGAATCTTCGAATAACTTGAATAGTGATGATAATTTTAATGATGTGCCAATTGTCGATTTTCCTAATGATGTGCCAAATGTCGATGTTTCTAATGATGTGCCAAATGTCGATGTTCCTAATGATGTGCCAAATGTTGTTGTGGGTATTAATGGACACTTTATCCCTCCTTTTGATATCTATGATCCTAGAAATTGGGGTTTACTTGATGCTACTAGAGATATTTTGATTGAAAAAGGACCTATAAGAGAATTAAATCTCACATTTCCTATCGATAGTTTTTCTAGGCATTTTTCATATTCTTATTTTATAAGAAAGTTGAGTAATGGGGAAACTTTGGATAGAAAATGGTTGGTTTATTCAAAACATGTTGATAAAGTATATTATTTTTGTTGTAAATTGTTCACTTCTCAAAATAATAAAACTCTTTTAGCAAATGATGGAGTGAATGATTGGAAACATTTGAGCGAGAAACTCAAACTACATGAGAATAGTGTTGAACATTTGACTAATATGAGTGCTTGGAATGAAACAAGATTGAGATTGAATAAGAACAAAGGCATTGATAAAGAGTTGCAAGAAGGGATTCTTAAAGAAAAGGAACGTTGGAGACAAGTTTTGATAAGAATAATATATGTTGTTAAATATCTTGCTAAACATAATTTAGCTTTTCGTGTATCTAATGGAAAATTGTATGAGGATAGTAATGGTAATTTTTTGGGTTTGATTGAAATGATAGCTGAATTTGATTTGATAATGCAAGATCATGTTAGACGTATAAAAATTCATGAAATTCACTATCACTACCTTGGTCCTCAAATTCAAAATGAATTGATTTCTCTTTTAGCCCATAGTGTTAGAACTTCTATGATAAAGATCATCAAAGAGGCTAAATATTTTTCTGTGATACTTGATTGTACCCCGGATGTGAGCCATCAAGAGCAAATGACTTTGATAGTATGATGTGTTAATGTGTCTTGTGATAAGATAAAAGTAGAAGATTTTTTTAGAATTCTTAATAGTAGATGATACATCAGGGTTGGGACTTTTTAATGAATTGTTAAATGTATGCAAGTCTCTTGATTTAGATATTGATAATGTTAGAGGTCAAGGTTATGACAATGGTTCTAATATGAAAGGAAAACATCAAGGGGTTCAAAATAGACTACTTGGAATAAATCCAAGGGCTTTATATATGCCATGTGCTTGTCATAGTCTCAATCTAACTCTTTCGGATATGGTACATTCTTGTGTTAAACCTATTTCTTTTTTTGGAATTGTGCAATGCATATACACATAATTTGCAAGTTCTACAAAAAATGGAATATTTTAGTTGATAATGTTTCGGGTCTTACTGTTAAATCTTTGTGTAATATTCGATGGGAAAGTCGAATCAAAAGTGTTAAAGCTATTAGGTTTCAAGCGCCTCAAATAAAGTTAGCTTTGCAAAAATTATATGAATCTAGTGGTAATGATGCTAAGACTAAGAGTGAATGTGAAAGTTTAGCTAATTGTGTTGCAAGTTATGAATTTTTACTTGGCATTGTGATTTGGTATGAAATTTTATTCTCAATTAAAAATGTGAGTAAGAAATTGCAAACTAAGTCTATGTGTATTGGAGCTGCAATGAAGGAAGTGAAAGGTATTATGTTGTATTTTGAGGAGTATAGAAATAATGGCTTTGAATCTAGTATAAATATTGCTAAAAGCCTTGCATTTGATATGGATATAGAGCCTTCACTTCCGACAAAGCGTCAAATATTTAGAAAAATGCAATTTTATGAGAATAATGGTAATGATGAAGAAATACAATCACCCGAGGAATCTTGTAGAGTTAATTATTTTTTGGTGGTTGTTGATATGGCAATAAACTCTTTGAAAAATAGATTTTAACAATTAGAGGTGTTTGATAATATATTTGGATTTTTGTTTGATTCAATCAAATTAAAGTCATTAGACAATCATGAATTAAAAAAATCTTGCATCAATTTTAAGACTACTTTTTCTCATAATAATTTGTCTGATGTTGATGCAGATGATCTTTTCTCAGAATTAAAAGTATTGCAAATGACTTTACCAAATATGTTGATGTCGGCACATGAGATTCTAGAGTTTGTCAAAGATGTCGATTGCTTTCCAAATGCATTAATAGCTTATCTGATCTATTGACTATGCCGGTAACAATTGCATCTGTCGAAAGAATTTTTTCAAAGTTTAAATTATTGAAAGCCTACTTGAGATCATCAATGTCTCAAGAAAGGTTGAATGGTTTAGCTACTTTATGTATTGAGAGAACTATGTTAGAGCATATTGATGTAGAAACTATTATTAATGACTTTGCATCTAGAAATGCTAGAAGGAAACATGTTGTATAAGCATTATCTTAACTATAAATAAAATACCGCGTATTTTTCGTTTTTTGCATACCCATTTTTTCTATTATTAAATTTAATAGTTAGCTAACTAGGGCCCTATTTTATAATCCGCCCCTAGGCCTCTAAATTCTCAGAAACGGGCCTGCTTTTCGGGATGGTAATTTTTCTTTTTCTAGGATAGTTTCATTTCTTTATTTTGGGTTTACATTTTCATACTTTCTAACCATTTGAGCCATAAACCTCCTTTTCAAGCCATGTCTTTAGATTTTGAGCCTTTCGCTTCATTCTTGTTTCCATTCTTTGTTTTTGTGAAGCAATTGATCATTATTGTTGGAGATTATGGTGTATGAGTTTGATAATAGGTTCTTATAATGTAAGCAAGTTTGTGTTATGTTTATTTTGTGAATAAAGGCAAATGTCAGTTGAAAAAGCCGTCCATAGTTAAAAGAGGCGAGGAAAATGCAATAAAGTGGAAAATAGAAAAATGAAAAAAAAAAGAGAAAAAGCAAGGAACATTCATATGCTTTGGAAAAAGTGGAAAAAATGTGAAAAATGAAAAATTCAAAAATATTTTGATGTAAGTGTATTTTTCCCTATTTTAAGTATTGAGGACAATGCTTTGTTCAAGCTTGGGGGAAGCATTCTTATGCTTTTTGTATATATATTTGTGATTTTGGATTTGAATAAGCTTGGGGTGTTGGTGTTCTTGTTTGTTGATTGCTTGATTATGGTGTTGAGATTTGGCCAGTCTTTGCTTCACAATATAGGTATATCACCAAATTTTAAATTTTAGCCTACCTTCACCCTTTTAGACCTTACATTAAAACCCTTTTCAAGACCTTTTGACCTTTTTGGTTGAGTCACAAGTCGGTGGAGGGAGATGTGAGTCAAGCCTATGGAGCGGTTTCCATAGTCAAGATGTTGAGTAGCCTTAAAATCTCTTCTTTTTCGGTTCCTTTGAGGAATCATTGAGATATTCACTACATGTGGATTTGAAACTAGTTGGTAGGACATGGTAAGATTGTTTAAGATGAAGGTGTATTGTGTCTCATCAGTTCTCTATACTTAGCATATCTTATATTTCAATCAACCTTGGATATCTTAAAACATGCACTCCCTTATTTATTTAATAAGAATTGCATTCAATTGTGCTTGTTCATTTTGAAAAGTCCATTCATGAACATTTGTGTTCTTTTCTTTTCTTTTGATTTCTTTTTCATTTTTTGCCTTGTTTGCTTGGTTTGAGAATAGTTGTGGGTTAACCTTTTAGGAAACCCTCATGAGATCTCACTAGTCTTCATTGGCGACTTTAGGGTTTTAAGGGCATGTTTTAGCTAATAACAATCATGATTCTTATGAAAGTGAGTTAGTGTATATTTTATTCTCCTCTCTTTTTCTTTTGTTTGTTTGAATAAGCTCATCATTTTTTTTCCCTTACTTGTTTTGGTTTTGCTCGAGGACGAGCAAAAGTTAAGCTTGGGGGTATTTGATGAATTCCATTTATGGCACTCACTTGATGAGTATTTATGTTGTTTTTACCTTCTTTTCATAGCTTTCTCTCTTAATAAATGCTTAGTTTTATGCATTTTCTATTTATTTTACCTTTTTCTCTTATTGTGTGTTTTTATGGGTTTTTCTAGTGTGTTCTCCTTTATTTGCTCTCTTCTCGTGGTTATAGGTGTTATACGAGGTTTGGGTCTTGATATTAGTGGCCAACTAAGTTGGAAGATGCATTTGGAGAAAACTTATAGCATTGGGAAAGCTCAAGATGCAAGGAATCGGATGCTCTAAGTTATAGCTCCAACGCTCTCAAGCTGCGCTCTCATGAGAGATGGTGTTAAACCCACCGTGGAGGCCCTTGGAAACTGCCATCTCGAATGTTCATCAAGTGGAGCTCACGAAGACCCATTTGCGAGCGCACGAGGCATCGAAGAAGTCCAAGAAAACCAGAAGAGCCCGGGCGCGCACCCCTGCTCGTGCAGGCGCTCATACCTGTTTCCGGCTTTGCTCGCTTTGATTTTGGCGCCTTTTATAAATACCTATCTTACCCCAATTTTTGTAATAAGTTTTTATACATAATTTTGATCATAATTCTAGCTTAAATTAGTTGAGAGTTTCTCTCTCTAGTTTTAGGTTTAGTTTAGGAGTAGATTTAAAGAGAGAAAGTGAGAGATTTCAATGGTGATTTGAGATATTGATGATACAAGGGTGACAATTATGTTGAACATCTTCTCTATTATCAACGAGCATTTCTAACTCTATCTCATTTTATTGCTTGGTTTAATTTCATGTTTGATTTGATTTTGATGTTTGATTCTTTATTAGTGCAATTGTTCTTCATATTTTGTTGATTCTTGATTTCTTAGTTGCATGATGATTAGATGATGAATCTTGAGTAGTTATTTTGTTAGGGATTGGGTGAAACTTGTATTATTGATTGATTGTGATTAATTTGGGAATTATGTTGATTAATTGTTGAGATTAAAGTGATTAATGTAAGTTTGCATGTGTGTAATTTGATTAGGCCTTGAGAATTATGCTAGACTGCATGTAATTGCTAATGACACGACCCATTGATTTAGGAATTGCAATCATCAATTGATTTGGATTGTGCTTCTCCTAGTTTGTTATTCGTAGAGACCACTAGCTTATCAATTGGGTGATAGCTCTTTGATTCCAATTGATAGCTCTTATTATTAGTCTTCACAACCATTGATTGGCGTGTTCTTCCCAAGTTTTTACAATTTTCATGATTATTTGTTGATCCCCATTCCCTAGTGTTTTATTTGTTTGCTCGTTTTTTTTATTAGTTGTTAGTATTACCTTCTTCACCCTTGACTTCGACCTAGCTTAGGCGCACAATTGAGAGCACTTGAATATAACCGTTCCTTTGGGTTCGACCCTTGACTTACCTCCATACTTGTAATGAGGTTTCTTAAGTGCTTATAAATTTTGTTTGGCTTAGAAAGGATTAGTCAACGACCTAGTTTTACCTTTGTTAGATATGATAACGAATGCCTTAATACTTTACATTATCAAAAGGGGTTTTTATTAAGGAAAAATTGCCAAGAATAATCCCACCTTTAGCCCACCCGCTAAAAATAATCCCACCTTTGGATTATTTTTAAATAATCCCACCTTTACCCCTTTATCTTTTTTAATGGTCCCATTTTACCAGGAACCGGTTGAGTAGGTAATTTTTATTTTTTTAAGTTTAATTGACACGTGTAGCTATCTGATTGGTAAAAAAAAAATTAGTAACAAAAATTTAAACAATAAAAACACCACCACCTAAGCCACCACCATCCCCACCACCACCCAAACCCAAACCCTACAACCACCATCCCCCTAGACCCGAAACCACCGCCACGGAGTTCGCATTGGCCAAAATCCCACACACCCACCCTCCCAGCCAACCCAACCCCATTAACCAATAAGCTTAACCATTCGAAAACCCACCAAACTAAATCGATGAATCCCAGAAAACGGGATGAATCAGGTAGGGGATTCGACATCGGGGAATCAAGGGACGGGGGAGGTTGGCTGGGAAGAATCAGGGTATGGGGGAGGTCGGCGAAGCCGAATTTAGGGGACGAGGGATGAGGGAGGTTAGTGACGCCGGAATCGGGTGGGGGAGGTTAGTGAGCTGAGACCAGATTCGTGGGTCAAGGAGTTCGGCGAGCTGAGGCTGGATTTGTGGGTCAAGGAGTTCAGCGTGACCGAATTTGGGGCTAATTTGTGGGCGTCGAAGCGGCTTCTCTATTGATGTTCGCCGGGGGCTTGCGAAGGAGTAGCAGTAGCGTTGCTACTTGGTGGTTTGCGGGTTGCTGGTGGAGTTAGGCCGGCCGAAAACTTGAAGGGATTGACCGGAATCGAGAAGGGGAAGGTATTTGGTGGTCGGATTCGGGGTGGGGAAGGAGATGGTGGCCGGAAAGCCGGTGGCTGGGGCTGACGGATTTTGGTTTTGGGATTTTTTTTAATTTTATTCTGGTTTTTTTTGTTTTTTTTTATTTTTTTGACCAATCCTATACTGACACGTGTCTAGTAACTTGTAATTACAAGTTAGGTGACCGATTGGGACCATTTAAAGCGGAAGAGGTATAAAAGTCGGATTATTAAAAAATAATCAATAGGTGGGATTATTTTGAGGGGATGAGGAAAAGGTCGGATTATTTAGGGCAATTTTTCCTATTATTAATTGTATTTAAGCTTAAAAGTTTAGGACAATCCGCGCATCGCCCAGACACAAAACTAGTCAGTAATATATAACGACAGGTCTCACAACCAGGCCACGAGATACTGACACTTGGCATTTCAGTTTTTTTTCCAAGTGTCACGCCACATATACGTATTATGTGACACATATGATGCTAGATAATCAAATTTTGGATAGATTTTTTTTAAGATAAAAACGTTGTATAGAGTTTTATTAACAATACTTCTAATAACTCATATATAAAAAAAATTAATCATAACTTTTAATAAATATCTTATAATTTGTAATATTTCCATCATAAAATTTGTTTTAAAAAGTGCTTTAAAGTAAGATTCACCTATAAGGTGGGTTAGAAAGTTAGACCCACCGGTGGGATTCAAATATTTTCTTTCGCTATGCAATATTATACTCTTTGAAATTTCTATTTTTTGAATTATTTTTTAGGTTGAGTATTTATACAAAACCTAAACTCATAAGATAGGAAACAATTTTTCTAAAAGATATACTAGCATAACCATATTCGCTAAATAATATTTTTGACATAAATATCCTAAATATATTATAATCTAATACAATAT